GGCGCTGGCCGCGTCCATGCTGCGGGGCTCCGAGCCCACCCAGGACCCCAGCCCCGAGCCCGGGGACGAGGCCGCCGAGGATGCCGCCGAGGGCCCCGAGCCGCAGGAGAAGGACCCCATGGCCAGCTTCAAGTGGAGTTTCCTCAGCCACAAACTGGCCGAGATGAGGGTGAAGGCTGCGCCCAAGGGCGACTAGCATGCCGGGGCCCAAGGGGCTCCGGACCCTGCCGCCTCGCCATTAAAACCCTCACCCAGCACCCCGTGTAACTGTGTTGTTGCCCAGACAGAGCGGCGGGTGGGCGACCTCAAGCCGGATGGATGGTTCCGTTTCAGGTACAGTTGTACCAGGAAGCCGGGGACAGACTCCACGGCCTCGTCCAGCCTCATTCAGTGCAAGACTTGGCCTGCTGCCCTACTCGGTGCATGGTTCCTCTACCGTGGAAAAAGTCAGATACTAACCAGAAAACTTAACTACCGGAGGGCCCCACACAAAGTGACAAATTGGGGCTCAGACGAGCTGAGTCTGTGAGTCAGGAAGGCTTCCTAAAGGAGAGCTTGTGATCCTAGAAAGAAAACTGGAAAGAAAGGAGAAAGGCCGAGGGAGGAGGAAGGTGCGCAAAGGGGAAACTGAGGGAAACAGATGGCCTGTGTGTCCCTGAGGGAAATCGAAGCAGTACCGAGATGTGAACTTTCGGGTAGGTCACCCCTCCTCCCCAAAAAACACCACCCGGTTTGAAGATCCCTTCTTTCAGTGACCGCTGGGCCTTTCATAGTGAGCACGACGGGGCAGCAAAGCTCTGGGGATTCTGGGAATCCCAACTTGGTGGAGTGGATCCCTGCCCTGTAACCTCCAAACCTCCAAACCTCCATTCCCAGCTCCCAGCTCCAGTATGGACGGACCCCCCCTCCCCGCCCCCAAGTGGGTGACAGAGATGATTACAATAGCGGTAGGGCAAATCTGTAATGGTGAAAGCAGCTATTGTTTAGTGAGCACTTGGTATATATTCTAGGCACTTTGCCATGAGAGTTACAAGGATTCCAAGGTATTATTAGCTGCTGCTGCCTTTTGCCCTTTAATAATTTAGGGGATGAAGCCGGGCGCTGGTGGCTCATGCCTGTAATCCTAG